GTTGTTCAGCTTCTCTGTCCTCCCTGCATCTGTTCTCCCAGTCCCTGGTCTGCTCAGCTCTTCTGAGATCAGTTTTTTAGATTTCACCTATGAGGGAGCTCAGGCAGCCTTTATCTTTCTGTGCCGCCTCCAGTTCCACCCATGCTGTTGCAAGTGACAGGAGTCGTCCCTTGCCGTGACTGAGCAACGCTGCTTCACGAATGTGCACCATATTCTCTTCAGCTGTTCCTCTGTGGGGACACAGGTTGTTCCCGTTTCTTGGCATCCCGGATGCAGACACCTCTTGGACATGCTGGCTTCTCTTCCCTTGGATGTGCATCCATGAGTGACATTGCTGGATCGTATGGTAGTTCTATTTCTAATTTTTGGAGGTGCTTCCACACTGTCTTCCAGAATGGCTGTGCTAATGTATATCCCTACTGGCAGCAGGCAGGGGTTCCCTTCTCTGCATCCTTGCTGACTCTGGTTACCTCTTGTCTTTTTATATTAGCGTTCTTACTGGAATGAGGAGACATTGTGGTTTTGGTTTGCATTCCCTGATGGCTAGTGACATTGAGCTTTTTTTTTTTTAGTGTCTTCTTTTGAGAAATGTCTGTTGCCCATTTTTAAATTGGATTATATGTGGATTTTTGCTGTTGAGTTTTTGGAGTTCTTATATATTCTGGATACGAATCTTAGATATAGTTTGTGTTTTCCTTTCTGCATTCCTTGACTAGATGTTAGTCTTTGTGAATTTATCCTCCACTTTTAAAATTTTTCTTTCCTAATTTTCATCTTTCTTTCTGTTCTGTTTTCTGGGTAACATTCAGCTGTATCTTCCAACTCTTACTGCATTTTTCATTTGTGGGGTCCTATTTTTTTAACTTAAGATTCACTGAATCATTTTCTGGGCCTGCCTGCCTCCCAGCCTGTCTCCCTCCCTCCCTGGTTCCTGGCCTCCCTTCCTCTCTGCTTCCCTCCCTCCCTCCCTCCCTTTCTCCTTTTCTCCCTCCCAGCCTCCCTGCCTCCTTCCCTCCCTGCCTGCCTCCCAGCCTGCCTCCCTCCCTTCCTCCTTGCCTCCCTCCCTTTCTCCTTTTCTCCCTCCCAGCCTCCCTGCCTCCTTCCCTCCCTGCCTGCCTCCCAGCCTGCCTCCCTCCCTTCCTCCTTGCCTCCCTCCCTTTCTCCCAGCCTCCCTCCCTCCCTCCCTATCTCCCTTTCTCTCTCCCAGCCTCCCAGCCTCTCTCCCTTCCTGCCCTGCCTCCCAGCCTTTCTCCCTCCCAGCCTCACTCCCTCCCTCCCAGCCTCACTCCCTCCTTCTGTCCTTCCCACCCTCTTTTTTATTCCTTTTTGAAAACAAAATCTCTGGTTTTTATTGGGACACATATTGTCTTGTCTTGCTGAGGACATTACTAGATTCTGTGTGCTTTCTTCTCTGTGCTGCATTAGCACAGTCTATTTTCCCATCCTCCGTTTTTGTTTTGGCTTGTAATTCTGGACTGTTAGAAGCTTTTTTCAAGTGTGTGGTGATTCTCAGGTCCTTATTTTGCTTAAGAGATGGGTCAGGAAGGCTCTTTGGAAGTTCCCTGCATGTATATGGGAGGTGGGAGTGCTGAGTGTGGGACCCCTAGAGCAACTAGACTATCTCCAGTTTCTTATTTATTGGACCCAGAGGTTACCACTGAGCCACATCCCTGGCCCTGTTTTTATCTTATTTTGAGACAGGGACAAAGATCCCTGCCTCTGCCTCCTGAGTGGCTGGGATGACAGGCGTGTGCCACCTCGATTGGCTTACACTGAATCTTTTCTTTAGCAGAGGGTAGGTGGTGTGATTTTAAACAGTATGTCTGAAGTAAGAAAAGCCGTCCTGCCCACCTCCTGCCCTGCTCACCCAGCTCTTCCTGGCTCCCTTGCAGCTTCATCCCCTCCCTGTTTAGGCTTCCTTGGTGGCTTTGGTTTTAGACTTTTTAAACATTCACATTTCTGGCTCCTTGTTGGACTCTGCCACCCTCACTCTTTTTGGAGGAGAATGTTCTAGGATCCCATGGGGAACTTGTTCCTGCAGAGGTTGGGGCCTTTCAGCTGGGGAGTTTCAGTTCAGTGATGTTTCTGACTGGTTTTGTGTGTGTGGTGCTGAGTATTGAACCCAGGGGTGCTTTCCCATCGAGCTATAGCCCAGCCTCCCCACCCCTGTTGTGTTTTTAGATAGGGTCTCCCTAAGTTGCCCAGGCTGGCCTCAAACTTGCAATCTTCCTTCTCAGTCTCTCAGTCAATGGGATCACAGGCACGAGACATCGTGTCTGGTCCTATTACTGTTTAAACAAATTTTCTCTGCTCTATTTGCTTTTTTTTTGTTTGTTTGTTTTTCTATAATTCTTGGCTGAATGGCATACTTCCTGGATCAAACCTATAAAATTTTTCTTTTAAAGTTGGAATTTTTGGTTTGTTTTCTGGGAGAACTCCTGAATTTTATCTTCCAAGCTCTGTATTAAAATTTTCCATTGTACCATTCCAATTTTAAAATCTAAGAGATAAGAGATCACTGTTTTGGTCCTAAGTGTTTTAATTTTTTTCTTCCACTTTTTGAATCTTGTCTCCCCTTGTCTTGGTGGTGGGGCAACAGCCATAACCTGCTTGGAGACCTTGCCCTTTGTGTTTCGTCTCCTTTGGGGGCAGCTCAGGTGCTGGCTGTGCCCCTCTGCTCACATGAGGTATGCCCTGAACCTGTTTCCCAAGAGATGGATCCTGTAATCAGATGAGGACCCAGGTGTTCCTTCCTCTGGGGCACTGGGAACACTGTCATTATTCCCCTGGGATCTCTTGTGTGACCTTTCCCAGGTGGCGAGCGCCCCTTGCCTCAGGGGAATGAATAAGCCTGGAGGAGGGCTCCCTGTCTCTGTCTGCCCTCCTCACTGAGAGGCCTTCATCGAATTCTGTTTTCTGGAAGGTGTCACCCATGACATTCCTGTATGTGGGCGGACCTGGGAGCCCAAGCCGAGCCTGAGACAAGCCCGAGCCAGAGCCAGAGCCCAGATCCCAGGCCCCTGTGCTTCCTGTCATCCAGCAACCCACATGTCCCCTGGTGGAAGGGAAACAACCAGTTCTGTGGCTGGATTGCTCTGAGCCAGAGTGGCTTAGACTAGGCTCCTTGTAGTGCTGAGGTTTCTGTGGCCTCAGTTCCGCCCTGGCACCCGGCCTTGGGATGTCTTGTCTGACTTCAGCCTCTGCCTAGCTGGAGCCGCTGGGTCCACCCAATGCGGGACCTCTCCCTGAGCCTGGCCCTCCTGACCACCTCTGCTGGCCTCCCAGGCAGTGCCAAGACGATTTGGCGGAGGCTCTGCTGCCCTTTGTGATCTGTCAGACAGCACCTCTCTGACCTGTTCAGGCCCCAGGAGTTACAGAAGTCTGCTCAGGCCCAGTGGGAAGATGGAGGCATAGCCCTTGCATTCTCAGAGCTGCTTGTGGGGCTGGGTGCTGACTGGTCGGTGCTGGACCTTTGGCAGGACAGCCTTCTCAGGACCTACTGTCTCCTGGCTCCTGTCCTGGGTGCCTGGTCCTCAGGCGGTTGGGATGGCTCAGCCAGTGGGGCTGGTTGTGGCCTCCGCCCCTTGCCCCACTGGTTCTGCTGGCATTTTGTGCTGAGGTCCTCACCCCCCTTGTCCTTTGCCTTCATGCCTTTGACTTGTCCTTGACCTCCCTCCCCTGGTGGGCTGGGCAAGGAGAGGCTACTTGCACATGTTTTCAGTGCTCATTTGACTCGGACCCCCCCTTGATTTATTTGCATTTTTTCTTTCTTTCTCTCCTGTTGGGCTACCATGGTTTGTGAATTCTTTTAGTTTTTCCCCAAACTAGTCCTTGGCTCTGTGGGTGATCTCTGCTCCTTGCTGCCATTTTCTTCCGGCTTGTTCTAATCATTCTTACTTTGTGAGGTGGATGCTCAGCTGCTTTCCCTGCCTTTCTTTCTTGATCTGATCTTTTTAAAATAGTACATTTCCTGATTATCGCTTCAGCTACATGCTGCATTTTTGTCATGCTGTGTTTTGACTCAGTTAAACACATTTTCTAGTTTAGATATGATTCTTAAAAATAGTCACAAAAATTGATGAAGTTTTACACGTATGTATAGAACACAGACAAGGAAATATATTTATCTTAAAAAAAACCTATATTACAGAAACCTACTACAGACACGCTAAGTGAGGGCACTATTTTTTATTTTATTTTGTGACAGGATCTGGCCAGGAACTGATGTCCCTTCCACTTCAGCCTCCTGAGTAGCTGGGATTACAGGTGTGACCATCACACTTGGCTAATGAGGGCACTTGGGGAAAATTCTCAATAAGATCAGAAATAAGAAAAAGATGTCTTTTGTCCCTGCTGCTTTAGAACTTTTACTTCTGTGTGTGGTAAGACTGGCAGAACATGCAATTCCCGATCCTTCAGGGTGCCTGGCTCCTGACTGAATACCTTCAGGGTTCCTGTGGCCACAGTGTGCCATGGTTGCTTAGGAGTATGAATAAAAATGGGAGAGATTTTTTTAAAGTTTTTTAAAGTCAAGCTTAATTACTTTGTGGTTTAAGAATACATTGCATATGATTTCAGTTTTATAGATGTGTGAAGATTTGACTTACGTCTCTGGATGGCTAAAGTCCAAATGTGTCCACATCATCCTGATGAGAACCCATGTGCTGCCGCTGTTGGGCCTGCAACACTGCACCTAGTGGGTCGGATTCATTAATTCTGGTCAAATGTTTTTAAACAGACTGTTCAGTAAGACTTCTGTGATGAGGGCCTGTCCCTCGCTGACTAATATGTTACTGACACTTGGACTGTTACCAGTGTACTGAGGAATGGAATCTCGTTTTATTTACTTTAAACAGGTACTGAATAGCCCCATGTGGTTAGCAACTAAGCACTGCACAGCACTGTTATAAATCGAGGCAGAATTTGTTTGAACGTCCATCAGTTGCCTGTATAGAGGCGTAGCTGGTAGGGAATGTTGTTTTTGTTTGTCTGAAATGTCTTTATTTTAAACTTCATTCTTTCAACTAGGATTTTATTTTATTTCACACATGCAAGGCAAGCACTCTACCACTGAGCCACAACCCCAGCCCTTCAAATAGGATTTTAAAAGCACATATATAATTATCCTGTACCAGGAACTATTTTAAGAGTTTTTAACTATTAAAATTACAGTGATTTGTTCTTATTTATCCATTTTTGCCTTCTGCTGCAGATGATCCCCAGCTGTGTCTTCCTCTCTAGGTGCAGAGGGCAAAGATGTAGTTATTTCGTGGTTGGTAGATGGCGGTTCCAGAATCTCGGGCTCGTTCCAGCTGGCCAGCCTTCTCTGCTTTCTGTGTGTGCCTGTTGTCCTTGATGCACTGGGAGTTGAGTTGAAGGCATTTGTAGGGCTTCTTTGGGGCTGAGGTCTGCAGAGCACGATTGGTCTTGTGCTGGGTACCTGTGGACAGTGTTCTCCTGGGACCATATTTTTTAGCCATTTTATGCCCTTGGGGTGGGGGGTGTTGGCCAGGGCCATCCTGGCTGCTCACCAGGATGGTGGCACCTGCCTTGCTGGGTCCTGGGCCTGCCCTGCTCTGCCACCCCTCATCCTTCATATGGGGACAGCCAGACTGCCTAGCATGGCCCCTGCTCTTCCCCTCACACCATCTTCCTGTGACATGTGGCACCCTTGATGGCTCTTTCCTTTCTGAAACTCCTTCTTTAGCTTCCCTTCTGGTGGTCTTTTTCAACTTTTCAGCTCTCCTTCCTTTGTCCTGCTCTTGGACTCCCTTTCTCTGCCTGCTCATTAGATAGCTGCACCCCAAGGCCTGGATCTGCGTTTCCCCTCACTTCTTGGTGACCCAGGCCACTCTGGAGCTCCCACTCACCACACTCGCATCCAGCGATTGTCTCTCCTGTGCTCAGGCTGGGGTCCAGCAGGCCATTTCCTTTGCTGGGCGCCTCTTCTCATCCTTGGGTGGGTCTCAGAGGGTGGTGTGACCACCTGCCCAGAACACCTGGCCTGGTGTACCCCACTGAGCTGGGTCACAGGGCCCAGGTGAGTCAGCACCTGTCAGCTTGGGGGCCTTCTCTGATCCTTGCTGGCTGACCACCCTGGGGTCACCCTGGGCTGCTTGCCACTTTTCCTGGCATGCCCTCTCCTCCTAGCTGACCGAACGTGTTTGTGCTACATGCCTCATTCCTAAAGTGCAGGTAGGACCACACTATTTCTCAGCTTGAAATTCCTCAGTGATTCTCCATTTGCAGGATAAAATTAAAACTCCTGAGTTTTGCATGGAGAGTCTGTATTCCTCCGCTACCTGTGGCCTCCTCCCTAGGCTCTCTGTGGACTTAGCATGTTGAAGTGTCTGTCATCCCTCTTCCCTGTTCCCTGGTGCCCTTTCCTGAGCCGTGTCTCCTCCTGGCACTCCGCTCCTGTTCTCTGCCTGGCTAGCCCCAGCTTGTCTTCTATTATAGGTCACTCTTGCTTCTGGGGGCAGGCTTCTGGGGTGAGCTGGCCACGAGGAAGAAGGGGTGCTCTTCAGCATGTCAGAGCCAGGTCCCACCCACCCCATACCCTCCTAGATCCTGAGGGTGCCCCTTCCCAGTGAGCGCATTTAAGCTGCTATCAGGTGGAGCCTGGTGTCACTCCTCCTCCCCGAACTCCACTGCTCCTCCCCACACTCCACTGCGGGGCTTGAAGAGACAGGCACACCCTGGGCCCCAGGATGGGACATGCGTCACCTGCCCCTCAGGGTTTGTAAGGAGTAGGGCCAGTGGTAGCGCCAGTCAGCACAGGCTAGAGTGGCAGGTGGCCTGCAGATGTCTTCATCGGGCTGCTGTGCCTCGACTGCCCACACAGGGTCCACTCTGCCCCAGGGGAATAAGAAAGGAGGCCACAGTGCAATCTGGACTGCGAGGGGACCAGGCCCCCATGGCAGGCTTACGGCTGGCACTGAGAGGCAAGTTCTGTGGCCTCTGGAGGAGGAGTCCACTAATGCCTGGACCTCAGGCTTACCTTGAGGCAGGAGGCAAACAGGCAGAGCCTTTTATTATGAAGGAGGGATTTATAAAAAATAATGGTAAAATCCTAAAAGGTAACTAGGAGAAATCAGAGCTGTTTTGAAGGTGTCTGTACTTTTTTTAGGGGGGGTAGGTACCAGGGATTGAACTTAGGGACACTCAACCACTGAGCCATATCCCCAGTCCTATTTTGTATTTTATTTAGAGACAGGGTCTCACTGAATTGCTTAACGCCTTTCTTTTGTTGAAGCTGGCTTTGTATTCTCGATCTTCCTGCCTCAGCCTCCCGAGCAGCTGGGATTACAGACGTGTGCCACTGCACACAGCCAGGACTGTCAGATTCTCCTCAGGCTGGGCAGCCACATTCACCATTACCTAGTTCTGCTGGCAGAATTTAGGGCTGTGTAGACCTTGGAGCTGACCCCAGCTGTTGGGGAGCCCCTCAGAGCAGTCTACGTGGTTTGCTGTTCATACTGGGAATACAGAGCTGTCACCCAGGTGAAGAGCCATGAAGACTGCTTCTTACTGGGACAGGGGCCTTCATGTCAGGGTGGCCAGCCAGCTCCTAAGAGCAGGTGAGCAGCATTTCCATGACCAGGAATATTAAAAAGGAATAGCTGGTAATCCCAGCTTCTTAGGAGACAAGGCAGAGAATTTCAATTGAAGGCCAGCCTGTGCAATTTAGGACCCTGTCTCAAAATAAATCAAAGGTGAGGTGCATCTCAGTGGTAGAGTGCTAGCTTAGCATGTGCAAGGTCCTGGTTCAGACCCCAGTACTACAAAAGAGATGCAATCCTGCAGCTCTAGTAATTAAATTAAAACCCAGCATTCTGTGGCTGTCCAAGATGACAGTCATCCTCCCTGAGGCAGTGCCTTTGGGGCCTAGAGTGGGTGGAAGAGGCCCATGCCATGGCCCATGCCATGGCACTCCATCTGTCAGGGTCAGGGGATGCCACACCGCAGAAGGCAGGGCCCGCTTGCTCTGGAATAGGCCGGTTCAGTGTGGGACATTTGTTATTTTAAGATGGGATAAAGGTTCTATGCAGATGTCTCTGTGCTTCTGTGCTAGTGAAACTTGGGAGTTGGGCCCTTGGTTAAAGTGTCGCTGGCTTAAGAAATATGATGCTGCAACCCAAACAGCAACTGCACGTAAGTGTGGTTCAAGGTATTTTTCTCTTGTTTTGTCCCTTTTTTCAAAGTACTGCCAGTGAAAGATGTAGAAGAAAAACCCGAACAACAAACCAGAGTGAAGGAGACGGACAGGTTACCCGCTGGTGTCAAACCCCGACAGCAACCAAGTGCCTTATTTGCTAGAGGAAGTAGGAAAGCTGTCAGAAGCCCCCAAAGATCATCCGCTAAAATAAAAGAAAACAAGCACCCATTCGCTCTTTACGGCTGGGGAGAGAGACAGACAGACACCGGAAGCCAGAAGACCCACAACGTCTGTGCCTCTGCATCGGTGCATGAGGTGCGGGCCTGCCTTTCTGTTCTTCCCTGGAAACCATTGGGATGCACTGGGCCTGCAAGATCCTGTGGTGGGGTGGAGGTCAGGAAAGCCCAGAACCAGGGCTGGTTACCAGCAGGAGGCTCTGGATGCCGCTACTTGGGCAGCAGGGGTTTGTGCTGGGCGTTGGCTGGCACCTGATGGGTTTACTGACACACACCAGGGGAGAGTGGGCCTGGCTGTGAGGCTCTAGAGCTCCCAGGGGTCAGGGGTGCAGAGAGGAGTGCAGCAGGCCTGGACTTGCCGCTGCCCTTGTGAAGGCTGTTCTCTTTGGCTTCGACAAGCTGGCGTCCAGGGCTGCTTGGTGGCCTGCTTCCCAGATGTCTTCCAGGCCCCTCTCCTGCTTGTCCAGGAGGGATGCATTTTCTCCCAGGGCCTCTGGTCCTCTGACGAGGCCCTGTCTGTGCTCTGTCAGGACCTGAAGCATCTCATGGTGAGTCCCTTGGCAGCACTGATGCTGTGACAGCTGGAGCAGGGTGGCTCAGGAGAGGACAGGAGCTGCCCGCTGATGGCCATTCTACACAGCTTCCCTGAACTCTGGGCCCAGCAGATGCTGGCACTGGGAGTGAAATTTGAGGCCACTAGGCTGTTTTTCCAAGGACCTCATTCCCTGGGGCTGATTTTAACAGGCTTTGCCATTGAAGGGTGACACCTGGTGAAAGCCCTGGGCGTTTCCAGGTGCTGGTTTAGAAGGTGGGTCCCTCCCAGCAGATGCAGAGCTGACCCTGCTGCTCCCTGGTTCTACTCAGGGTTTGGTCTTCTGTTGCCCAGCATTGCGTCGCAGGCATCTGGTGTGCGTGTTCCTGGGGGAGCTCAGGTTTGCAGAAGGCCCATTGGCAGGCATTCTTGATGATGAGCGCAGAGTGGACTCACTGCTGTGTTTCTCCTCCCTAGATTCACGAGTCGGCGCTGCGGGCCAGGAGCAGGAGGCAGGAGGAGAAGAGGAAGCTGGCTGCTCAGCGGCAGCGTGCGCACTCGGTGGAGGTGCAGAGGGGCAGGACAGCGAGGGCCCCCTCTGCAGAGAACCCCTGGGTGACGGAGTACATGCGCTGCTTCTCAGCAAGGGCCTAGAGCTCCCCAGGGGCCAGTCTGTCTGTGACCCGGATCTGGCCGAGAGACCTTGACCATGCAGGGCCTCTCGGAGAACAGCTAAAGGCTGTCCTGTCGTGAATCTCATCACCTACGTCAGCAGTAGGGCAGAAAGCTGAAGCCATAGACACTTGGTTACCTGTGAAGACAAGCCCCAGGCCCCTGGTATTCTTGTTAGAGTTGTGTCTGTGAGCATCTTTCCTTTGAGGTACTGACACCAGATGCCTTTAAACGACTATGAGGCTTCCGTCCCCCTCTAGGTGGCACAGGTGGGCTGTGTCACCCACCTTAGGGGCCTCCAACTCACACTTGTGAGGTCCCCGTCCTGCACGAGATTTGTGTTTACTGACACATGTGGTTTTCTTTGTGAGAGAGTATCCAGCAAGTATCACTCCCCGTGGCCTCGGGCCCAGTTCTCCCCAGGATCTAGCATCCATCTGTGGTGAAGCAGGGCTGTGATGGCTACTGCAGGTACAGAGGTGCTTGTGTTTCAGCTCACACCAACCTTCACACGGGTCGTGTGTTCAAGGATTGGGCTGGCGAGGCCTGGCTTCTCTGGATGATCTCCTGGGCGCTCCCTCAGCAGTTTAATAGCCACACACATTCCAGTAGACACAGCGCGGCCACTGTGTGTAGGTGGTTATGCAGTTGCTGTGAGCCAGTTCACCTCTCTTTAATTACAGCATTTCTCTTCAGAACATATAAGATATAGCTGGCCACGGTTACAGGCTGTGGACTCTAGCCTCTTCTGCAGCAGCTGGCAGGACATGTAGAATGCATGCCCTGGAATCACATGGAATGAACTGAGACACTCTCAGAGACACTGCCCACCTGCCTTCTCCACTCTTCCTTCTGCAGAACTTGGTCTTGGTGGTTTGTGGTGTTCCTGCTTCAGGTTGAACTGATTGTGTTTGACTCCTGGCCAGCAGATCTTACCTACACCTTACAGGAGCTTGGGGGCCTGAGCGCATGCAGCTGTGTCTCAGCAGGGCTGATCCTTTTGTGCATTTGCCTCTAGGATGGAAAATGGTCTTCACACTGATTTCTCAGGTGCTGGGTGGGTCTCCCTGCTGACGAGGCCTGTCCAGGAAGGACGAGGGCAGGTGCTCTAGGGGAACGAGCAGGTCCTGCAGCTTAGCCCCTGCGGGCGTGAGTGGAAAGTTGGTGTTGGACTTGAGGCTTGACATGCCTGGGTTTTCACTCAGGGTCTCTCAAGTCCGCTGGCTCTTAGCACACAGACTGGTCTCACTCCACATAAATTCACCATCTTGTCACTGTGTCGAGCCGTGAAAGTGCCTCTTAGAGCCTCCTGAGTGCTGTGGTCCTGAGGTGAGTCCTGTATGGAGAGCGTGCCTTGTCGTGGAGGAGTGTGCTTACCAAGAAGAAGTTCTACATGGTGTCTGACACCCTGGCTATGAGTTCTAGTGAACTTTGATTTAACCAGTCACACATCTTCAAATGCTGTGGGAACCTGTGGGTCACATAACCCTGGCATGGTGATGGTGTGGCTCAGGTGGTTTCACCCACTGGCTGAGCATCATGTTGCATCTGACTGTGTTGGAAAGTCAGCCAGGCATGGCACCTGGCACCCTACTCCTCCAGCCTGTGTCTGCCGGATGTCTAGGAAACACACTTGTCTGTGCGCTTTCCCCGACTCCAGGCCTGGAAGGCAGATTGGCAAGTCTCCCTTCTTTATAAGTGAAGATGGATGGACAAGGTAGTTAAGGGACTTCTCATGTGCATGAACAACCAGTGGCTGAGTGTGGTAGCTGTGGTCCCTCCTGTCTGAGCCCTCGATGGTCGAGATCCTCCTCTTCCCTTTTCTCAAGGGCACAGTTACCTTTTGAGCCTATGAATTTTTAAAAATTGTAACAATGTGACATTCCTACTTTCTTCTTTTACTGGGAACTGATGTGGTGGTGGTCATGTTCCTAATTCTTAGGACATGTTGCAAGACAGGGAGATAGTATAAAGCTGCCTTCAGGTTGGAAAAGTAGAACTGGTTGGAATCCAGTGTTATTTAAATGCTACATAAAGTCTTTTTAAAATTTTGGCTTTAAATTCTTATTAAAACAATTTGCCATAAACCAACTTGTTTTTTTTTTTTTTTTTTTTAACTTTTACACCGAAGCCAGTCATGGAATATTGGAGCAATAACACCCAGCCCTCTGCTGGGCCAACGCATCCTTGGGCATCTGACTGCCCTGGTTGGAGCTGTCTGGCTCCTAGTGCCCTGATGGTGCACCCGACCCAGTTCCTGAGCGCCTTTGTGCAGCTCCAGTGATGACTAGGTCATGCTCTGGGGGAGGCCAGCACACACCCACCCCAGAGACCAGTGGTCAGTACCTCCAGTGTTGAGCAGGTCCCAGGCCTGAGTTCATGGGACAGAGCTTGCGAGGCTGTAGGGAAGAGCGCCAGCCTGGGCTGTCAGCTAGCAGAAGCCATGACTGCTAAATCTGCAGTTAGGAACAGCCTTGGCCATGGTACTTTAGCTGTACCTGTGGAGTTGGAGTTCGGGGCACTTAAGACACCTGAAAGTGTCAGCAATGAAGGGGAGGGCAGAGCACACCAGAGTGGTTTCCTGGTGGCTGACACTTCAGTGTGGAGTAGCAACACTGGGCTGCTGCCAATGGCCTGACCACAGAGTAGTTTGGCTTCCAAGGGCCAGCACCTGACCATAGAAGGTCCTCGCTCTGGAGTCTGGTCAGTCTGCATGAAAAATGGTCCTGAAAATATGACCTGGTCAAGCAGAAGTTTTGCACCAGGGGTGGGTTTTTGTGTGCTAGAGTGACTAGAGTTACCAGGAGTGAGTATGCCCAACACCCGGCCTGTAGCCAGGGTAGTGCTGGACCAACCTCGCCCCTTCAGAGCCTCCTCTTGGGATGTAGGTGCTGGGTGCCCTCCTCCCGTCTTTCCCTTTAGCATGGCTGGTCTGAGAGCCTTCATGTTGGCAAGCACTGGGTTCACTTCAGACTTTTGCAGATCACAGGCAGCCCCTGGACTGCGGACTGGGCAGCGAGGACTTGGGGTTGTCTTTCCTAAGAACTGTGGTTTCAGCTCACATTTCATGTAGCATTTATCTGAGCCTTCTTGTTTCTGAGAAGCAGTTCTGGTTGGTGCGTTTGTGGCTGGAAGAGCAAGCACTGTGCTGGTGCCTGCATCCTCCATGGAAGTCCAGCAGATGCGCTGGGATCCAAGAGAGCTGTGTGCCGAACACAGGCTCAGTGGCCCTGGTGTCTGGAAGTCAAGAAAGTGTCAGTGCCGCAGAGTGCCTACGATGTCAGGTGGGAACAGGACTCCCTGCACGGTTCTAGACACAGCTCCCTTTTGGGGGAGCCAGGCGGCCTCTGCAAGCTTGCCCTGGGAGCCCTGACTTTGCATTAATGTTTTACTGTTATACACACCCTGCAGTGTTTTCCACTTTGTCTTTAGCAAAGTCTCTGGTTCCAGATGAGATGGGCTAGCACGTTTTGTGCTAGAGTGTCACTGAACACAGCTACGGAACACTGACCAGGCGCATCTCAAGCCAGGGAGGACAGCCTGCAGAGCCACCTTCCCCTGGTGTTCCACCCTGAGCCTACATAGCCTTTTTCTCCTGTCCTCCTGCCTGAGCTCCTCATGGCCAGGCACAGAAGGAGCATGATGTGCAGACCCAATAGCTTCCACACAGAGGCAGGAGATGGACATCTGCAGCTTGTAGAGTGGGGATGGCCCCCTTTTTGTCTGGTTCTTCATTTTTCAGGCTGAAGATACTAGGAGACACCGTTTGGCAGCAGGAATCTGAAGAAGGCATGGGGTGGGGGAGACCCAACATCTCTCCTCGTTGGAGCTGAGGCACCACCAGCCTGAGGCTGGGTGGAACGGCTCTCTTCCCTATTGAGGGGCAACCTAGTTCCAGCAGTGGGCAGTTCCAGGCTGCAGGATCAGAAAGGAACCGGCCAGTGTTGGGGAGAGGGGCAGGGAGAGCTGGGGAAGTACTCTGCCAGTTTTTTTTTTTTTTTGTAGCACTAGGGAGGGTGGAGGTCTCAGGGTGCTCTACCAGAGCTACATCTCCAGCCCTTCAGTTTTAATTTCAATCCAGGGTCTCACTGTGTCACCCAGGCTGGCCTTGAACTTGAGGTCCTGTTGTCTCAGCCTCCAGAGTCAGTGGGATTATAGGTGTGCAGCCCTTCACCCTGCTCCCAGAGTTACTTAGGAACTCCTGGGCCGCTGGCCCACTCACCTTGTGCACAACACTCATCTGTGGAACTGACCCTAAGCAGCAAGCCAAAGACGGCTAGGAACTGAGCCCATGGCGACCTCTTCCCAGGCCCGACTGGCCCAGGTGGTTCCACATCCTACTATCAGGCATGGGAATTGCCAATAGGGAGGCAGATTGGAACTTGGGGCCTGAACCTCACCATATCAACTGGTTGCCAAAACAAGAACATCAAATTAAACAGGATACAAATCAGCCACCAAAGAGGGATTCTCACTGCCACTCCCCTCCCCTCCACGCCCACTGTGTGCTTCCACCAGCCTCTGGAAACCCTCCAGAGGAGCTCATCTGTCCCTCCTCTGCCCCCCAGTGGGGGACAGATGGCAGCTCTAAGTGCTTCTGTGGTGTCCCCTGCCTGTGGCTTGGCAGCATGTCTGTGTCTGCAGTCCCCCACCTTCCCATTTCCTGGGCCTTTCCTTTTTGTGGTGTGGGGACTGAACCCAGGGCACCTTGTCCTGAGCGACACCCCCTTCTGTTTTTTGAGACAGGATCTGGCTAGTTGCTGAGGCCACAAGCTGTGTCACTGTGCCAAGCATTTAGTTATTTACTTTTATGTGGCTCTCAGGATGAGCTTGTCAAATTCTGTTTCAAAATTCCATTTAGAAGTGTTATTAACCTTCATTGAATTGATAGACACTAGCCCTGCTTAGACTCCATCAGTGCAGGTACACAAGCAGCGGAGCCAAATGTGTCCTCCCATAAAATACAGGCCTCAAAGTACAGTCCAGACCACGGAGACAAGCTGAACGAGATCCACCTCATGTCCCCATGCTGAGAAATCCAGCAGCTGTGCCTGGCTGAGGGGGCAGGCTGGTCCTGGGGCCCTGCTGGGGCATGGCTGCCCAGGGCCAGGGGACAGCCCTCTAGGAACCACCAACCACGTGCTGGGACAGCCCCAGGACTTCACAAGAGAAAAACCAACTGTAATGGCAAGATGAGAAAAGATATCACCATCTTTGCCTTCCAAGTTCCCAATGGCAAGGGACTTCTTAAGATGGAAACAAACCATTTTCCAGAGGAATCTGGAATACCTCCAATGTTTCCAACTACCACAGCATATGAAGCAGGTGAAGTCGGAAGGGTAAATTGGAGTCCTGTAGACAGCTATGTGACTGAACAGCTGCTTTATCCCCACAGGTGGATATCGAAGATCTCCATGATGAAACATGGAGGAAGACCAGTGCGCCAAAAGGAGAACCAAAGCTTCCCTGCCGTCACTTTGTGCCCTTTGGTCTCTCCGGCCTGGGCTGTCAAGTCCAGTGTTTTCGATAAATTCCCCTGAAATTCTAAGATGGATCAGGAAAGAGTTGCCTGATAACTGGCACACAGTCATTAAAAGCTCACAGGCCCCTCAAGGCCCCTCTAACTGTTCCCCCCAAGAAAGAAAAGCCCAGAGATGCTGAATGTGAGCTCCCACCCGGCTGCCCCAGCGCTCCCATCATTCCTGCCTGAGTTCACCACTGACCTGCTGGGCACTGGGTTCTTCCCCTGGGGGTCTTCTAGAAGCCACAGCTATGTCTCCAGCTGTGACATCCAGCTCTCACCAGAGAGCCAGGCTGCAGAAGGGCTGTGACCACCAGTGTAAGCAATGCTACAGCCTTGCTCTTGCAAGACTGGAAACTGCCATTCCAGAATCTACACACGCTTCCTTGAAGACGTGACCGGGTGTCCTCCAGGGCAGCAGCCTCAGGAAGGGTACTGGGTCTGCTCCCCAGCAGACCCCTCCTCTGCCGCTGCATTAAGGGTTGCAAACAGCCCAGCGCTGTCCTAAAACCCTGCTGTGAATGCGACAGCTCCTCCCCTCCCATGAAGAGCTGACCCTCAGGGTAGTGGGCGACACCATTCCGTGTGAGACACTGGAGCATGGTCCAGTTTGAGAATTTGCTTCAGAATCATTTTTCAAAGTAAAATATTAAGGAATTGAGGGAAAAAACCCCAAAAAACTAAAACAGATACATACTGATTTTTTTAGTCAAATAACTTCCCAGAGTTTGTGTCTTTGTGCTTATTTATTGATTAAAAGAGAATAAGCACTGGGAAGCTTCTAAATTAAAGTTAAATTTCTGGTCCATAATTAAAAAGTCCCAGTGGAAAGGCACATATGGTAAGAATGCTTCTTATTTTTGCACCAGGGACTGAACTTGGGTGCTCTACCACCGAGCCACATCCCTTGCACTTTTTATTTTTTACTGAGACGGGTTCTTGCTAAGTTCTGAGACTGGCCTTAAACTGTGATCCTCCTGTCTCAGCCTCCTGGGTAGCAGGATCAAAGATGTGTTTACCACACCTGTGTGAAGAATGTTTTTTAACTTCTCTGACTTAAATAATACCTATTTCAACCTTAGAGAAAGATCTTTATCTATTTTTTGCATTGGTATTTTTAAGAATGAGGACAGTCTCTGTAACATAATAGGTGTCCCCGCCTCACACCCGCTAGGCCTTGCTGGATCAAATCCAGGCCAGCCTGGTAACCACAGCATACTTCAAGCCACCAGCAAAGATTCAGAAGGCTTTCTTAATAAGTATGACCCTTATGACATGAACTAGAGTCTGTGGGTCTCTAGAAAAGGAACACAACATGCAGGTGGGAGGGGGCACATCAATGGCCCATTGACCCAGGTGGCCAAGCAGGAGGGCAAAAGTTCAAGATGAGCCTCATTAACTTAGCAGATAAAAATAAGGGCTGGGGATGAGGCTCAGTGATGGAGTGCCCTGGGTTCGGTCCTCAGTATTGCTAAATAGGCAGATAAATACAATAATTCAAAATAAATAGCTGGGCTCAGTGGAGCACACCTGTAATCCCAGTGACTTGGGTGGCTGAGGCAGGAGGATCACAATTTCAAAGCCAGCTCAGCAACTTAGCAAGGCCCTAAGCAACTCAGTGAGGCCCTGTCTTAAATAAAATACCAAAAAAGGGCTGGGGATGTGGCTTAGTGGTCAAGTGCCCCTGAGTTCAATCTCTGGTACCAAAATATATATATAAAAAAAAGTAAATAATGAGGATGAGGCTGGGCATAGTGGTGCACGTCTGTAATCCCAGCTACTTGGGAGGCTGAGGCAGGAGGATTTAAAGTTTAAGGTGAGCCTGGGAAACTGTCTCAAAATAAGAAAGGCTGGGATGTAGCTCAGTGGTAGAACACCCTGGGCTTCAGTATAAAGGAAGTAAAAAACCAAAACAGAACACAACACAAAAGATTTGAGGTAGAGGCAGGGTGTCCTGAGGCTGGACTCCAGTGGTCTTCCTGCTAGGAAGACCAGACTGACCAGCAAGGGACAGCAGGGAGAGTGGCAGGTTTTGTCTGCTGGGTGGGACACAGCCCCTGGCCTGGCCTCAGGGAGAAGCCCTGAAGCCCATGGAGCAGGACAGTGCCAGTTCACCAAACACCAGTTTTTATTTCATTTCGGGTCGCTGGTGAAGGGCGACTGCTCCAGCATCTCAAGTGTGGGGAGTGTACGGTGGAGTGTGGTAAGTGCGGTTGAATAAGTGGGACCCTGGGTGCCGGTGCCAGGGCCCTTGCACGTTGGTCACAAGGTACACCAACATGAATCTCTGTGCCTGTGGTTAAAGAAATATCCAACTGCATTTAGAGCACCATTCCTATCCTATCACACTCAAGGAACATGCTGGGGAGACGGACGGGGCCCACACGGCACAGCGTGTGTGTTCTCGGACAAGGCGGGGGAAGTGGAACAGGAAAGTCACATGCGCGTACACATCGGCCGGTGTCGTCCCTCACATCAGGTTTATTACGTGGCTCCTGGGCTGCCTCCGCCAGCTGGAGTAGCGTCCCCATAAGATCCACTTCTGCACAGAGAAGAGGTGGAAAAGCTGCAGATTCTCCAAGCTCCAGCCACTGTCCCAACACCACGCAGACACTTGAAAAACAGAGCCATTGGGAACAGGCACACCTACAAATACAGAAATACATCTGCTGGGTGCTGGAGGAACTAGGTACACTTCCTCTTGACTAACATTATGTCCACTGGGCAGAGCTGACCGTGGCAGTGGCCAGAGAAGGAGCTTTGAAGTCGGTGGCGACACGCTGCTTTATGAGCAGGCCTTGGGCTGGAGCCACAGGTGCCACGTGGAGATGCGAGAAACCAAGGAGTGCCTCCGCAGGCACCAGGGTGGGTGGGCTTCGGCCACTCCCGTCCCCATGTGCCCTGCCGTCCTCTGAAGGGCCTGGGAGCTCCTGAGCACGGACTGTGGCTAACGCGGTGCCTCCTTTCCTACTGAAGCTCCGCGGCCCTCCTGCTGCAGGCGGCAGGGGGCTCAGGGAGCTGGCACACCCACCTGTGTAATGGCTCTAACAGCCACACTCCTGCACACTCGTGGCCTGAGTGCGGCGTGGGGACCGGAGCTGTCTTAGGGCGGCGTCTCCGTACTGGATGCCTGAGCCCATCCTTTCTGGGTCCAGCTCACCTATGGGACAAGCACATCTCTTTAAAAAGCATTGTTGTTATCCCATGATCCCCAAATTATGTGAAAAAAGTGTGGAACAGGGCTGGGGATGTGGCTCAAGCGGTAGCGCGCTCGCCTGGCATGCGTGCGGCCCGGGTTCGATCCTCAGCACCACATATAAACAAAGATGTTGTGTCCGCCGAAAACTAAAAAATAAATATTAAAATTCTCTCTCTCTCTTAAAAAAAATAAAATTGTAAAGTGAAGTATTTTGATGACAATCAAAATCAACTAGATTGATTGTAAGTTCATGCGTATAGGGAACTAGAAATGGTGTTTTAAAAAAAAAGAAAAAGAAAAAAGTGTGGAACACCATGAACATGTGCCCCCTTTCCAGGAAAGAGGAAAAACGTGTATGTTAGCACGCATATGCATTAACCCCCTCCAGGACACAGAGGACTGGGAACAAAGTGGCTGCCCCATGCCCCCATGTCAGGGAATAGTAGAGGTAGTGTGGAAGACCCCTTCTGCTTGTACTCTTGTACCACCTGAATTTGGAATTACATGGATATATTATGTATGCAAAATAAAGTCAATTTAAAACTGAATTACTAAGATGCCACTGTCTACTTTTAAACTGGCAAAAACCCAACTCAGATAATATAACACCCCAGGACACAGCATAGTGAGGCACCTTCTGACAGGAGGTGCCACAGCCCCTGCCTAAACAGCATGTTGCACGAGACTGGAATCACACACTCTTGGTGCTTTCAGACCAGTGTGCAAGAGCTCATGAATAGCAGGTACTGGCATGACCAAACCTCTAAAATAGGCTGGTACCACAGATCTTGGTGATGCATGTGGATCAGTGCATCTGACACGCCTGTCCCTGTGTGTGCATGATGTGCACGTGGAGCAGGGCAGCTCACATGTGTGTCCCTGTGCATGCACGATGTTTACTTGGAGCGGTGCAGCTCACACGTGTGTCTCTGTGTGCACGATGTGCAAGGTGATGTACATGGAGCAGTGCAGCTCACACGTGTGTCTCTGTGTGCACGATGTGCAAGGTGATGTACATGGAACAGTGCAGCTCACATGCATGTCCCTGTGCACACAATGTGCAAGGTGATGTACATGGAGCAGTGCGGCTCACATATGTGTCCCTGTGTGTGCACGATGTGCATGGTGATGTACATGGGGCAGTGTAGCTCACACGTGTGTCTCTGTGCACATGATGTGCAAGGTGATGTACAAGGAGCAGTGCAGCTCACATGTGTGTCCCTGTGTGTACATGATGTGCAAGGTGATGTACAAGCAGCAATGCAGCTCACACGCTTGTCCATATGTGTGCACGATGTGCATAGTGATGTACATGGAGCAGTGCAGCTCACAGGTGTGTCCCAGTGTGTGCACTATGTGCATGGTGATGTACATGGAGCAGTGCAGCTCACACATATGTCCCTGTATGTGCACGATGTGCATGGTGATGTACATGGAGCAGTACAGCTTACATGCTTGTCCATGTGCATGCATGATGTACAAGATGATGCACATGGAGTAGTGTAGCTCACACACGTGTCCCTGTGTGTGCACAATGTGCAAGGTGATGTACATGGGGCAGTGCAGCTCACACGCGTGTCCCCATCCCACATCTGCACCTCCACCTGGGCTGAGAAGATGGCTTAGGCTGAGCTTCCCACTGTCCCCATCCTGCGTCTGTTCCTCCACTTGGCTGAGGAGATGACTGGGCTGGGGTCCCTTGCTCCACACTTTGGCCATGGACTAAACCTGTGCTGCCATTGCTCAGTTTTGTTTGGGCCTCCTGACACTGAAGAGAAGATCCCACCTCTGAGGTTCCCCTGCCCAGGGGCACTGACACATTCTTGGTGACACCGTCCACTAGCCCATTGGTGCTGTTGCCACCATATCTGGGCTCATCTCCCTTCCTTGCTTCCATGTCCTGGCTCAAGCTTGCCAACTGTCATGTGCTTGGATGGTCCCTGAGTGCTGTCTCTCCTCCAGCTGTCCTCCCGGAGCCCCTGTGTGATCACCTCAGTCACCCTGATGGCACCCTGCCTGTCCTCCCACAAAGCTTCTCCTCCTGGGTGGATGTCAGTCTCAGGACAGCTCTAGCCCTGGTCCAGCAGCTCCAGACATGGCCAGGGTAAGGGCTTCTGCAGCACTCTGGGTGGCTGCTGCACAGCCAGGCTGGAATCCCTGAGTTTCGAGAGGCAGCTCCTGGCCTCACAAGGATTGCAGGCCAGTCCTGCCTTCTGGCTTCTCTGCTCCTGCCTCCCTCCCTCATGTCCCTGGGCTGACTGCTGCCCTATAGCTGCACACGCCCCACTCGGCATCTGCTTGGAAGCCTGCCTGGGTGATCTCAACTTCCTTCCTACTGCCCTGGCATCATCTGGTGACAGTAAGAACCCAGTCTGACAGAGGACTTTGTCCCTGCCTGCATTGGGCCTGGAGTGACTATATAAGTGTCTGCCGTTCCCACAGCATCCTGTAGCCCCAACCCCATGAGAGAAGGAGCAAGCTGTTGAAGAGACCTTGGAGATGCTGCCCTGGGGTCAGGCAGGCCCACCACCCTTGGGCCTGGGGCTTGCATCTCTGCCATGGGCCCTTTGGACCCTAAGTGGAGATTTTAATTCAGTGGGTACAGAGAGAATCTGCTCTGCCCAGTCACCACGCAAGAAGGGGACCTTGCAGAGCCAGCAGGAAGAGCAAGTAGGAGGGCCATGCCTGCCAAGGGCGCTTTACCTGACTCGATCCTGTTGAGTATTTTTCGTGCACACTGCACAAATGCCTCTTCCACGTTCTCCCCAGTCAGTGCACTTGTCTCCAGGAACATTAGCTCTGAAAGTGATGTCAAACAAGACACGGTGTATTTAGACGGTGATCGCATTTGTCAATCTCTAACAGGCTGCTTAGTGTTCTCAGAATGTCAGGAAGGCCCAATTCATGACCTATAGCCATCTATTTCTGAAAAAATAAAATCAGTATATGTCAACATGCTTTAATAAAATGTTAACAGGATTAGTAAGACCCCATCTCAAAAAAAAAAAAAAAAGATTTGGGGTCTGCTGGGGATGTGACCAGGCTCTAGAGTGCTTGCCCAGCACGTGCAAGGCCTTCGATCTAATCCCCAGCTCCACAGAAGACCCCCAAACACATAAACACAAAATCAAAACTGAAAAATGTTGGAGGTGTCTAATGTTTTTCAAACATTATCTATTGTCTTGGCTGGTCCTGACCCATTGGGGAGATGGATGAAACTGTAAACAGGCTCCCTGTGCCAATGACCATCAAGAAGGAGGCAGGAACGGGCCCTACCCCCAGTGCACGGGAAACCTCAATGTCCTTCTCCAAATAACCTGTCTCACCAGGAACAGGACCTGCAAGTATCTGCCCGCTAGGGGACTACACCGCGAGGGGCCACAGTGTGCACTGTGGCCCCACCCCCAGAGCCACCCAGAGCCCAGCAGGAGGTGTGTTCCTGCCCCTGAGGTGAAGGCCCCCTCTGCTTCCTCCCGGCACAGGATACTGAGCGGTGACCCCTGAGCAGCTCCTTCGCTATGGCTTACGTGCGTCTCTGACATTTACTTTCTTAGCAAAAAATCTGCAGAGCTGCAGGAACACTGTTTGGGGCCTAGAGACCAAGCAAACCTGATTTTAGGATATTCTAGTTGTTGATTGGCACTCACAGTTCAAGTTACCTAAAACGTCTGCATTTGTTCCATCCTGTTACCCATGAGCAGCCACCTGTGCTATGTGGTGGTCTTGTGTGTCCTATCTGGCAGTTCAGAGGTGTCAAAGCCATCTGTACCAAGTGGCTCTGATGGTCTACGGGAAGCACAGCCAGCTGGCCAGAAGCGGGTCTGAGGCTTCCTTTCCATGCACAAAGACACAAGTTAGAGTGCTGACTCTGAGCCCAGGGCGGAAGAGACTTTGCAAAGTGTTACAGGTGCTTCCATCAGCGTGGTGGCTCTGGGGCCCTGGGCTCTGGGGCAGGGTGCGCTGCATGACCACGCTGACTGAGCTCACACCCCCGTGGGAGTTCTGCTTTCCCAAACGCAGCCTAACCTTGACCCTCCTGCAGAGCACCAGCATGGCACCCATGTCCACACCGAGAACCACGAGGGGGAAGAGACTTGCCATTCTCTTGCGCGAACCTGGAGGCCTCTAGGAAGGTGACTTCCCGGTCAGTGTCCAGGTCCTTCTTGTTCCCGCAGAGGAGGATCACGATGCTCTGACTCGCCAGCATTCTGGCATCTGTTAACCAATTAGTAAGCGCATTGTAGGTTTCTCGGCTGCATGACACAAGATTGTGAAAATGATACATGTATTTTATAAGACCAGCAATCTTTCCAGCTGCTCGTCCTACTCCACTGCTCAGCAATATGCCAGGTAACGGCCTTAGGGTCCCCTGGGGAACCTGAATGTACCCAAGCTGCCAGGGCTCAGGAGGAGGAGCCCTGACTCTTCAGAAGCACAGAGGGTGCGAGAGCCTGGTGCCTGACCGCTGGGCAGCTGGGCACCCCTCCATCAACCGTCCTGCCTGTGCTGTGCTCTGCTCCTGGGAGTCCAGCAGGTGGATTCTGCTAGAGACTGTGTAGGAACAACTGCTACCTCCTCCTCTGCCCTCAGGAGCGCTAGATGCACAGCACCACCCCACAGCCCCTGCAGGCAGGCCGTGGCCAGGCCGTCCACTCAGGGCCCACTCAGACCCGCTTTCTCCCCTCCTACAGCTAAGGGCAGGTGCATCTGCAGCCTGATGCCCTCACGCCTCGGAGGCCAGAGAGGGGCAGCCATGTGACACTCCATCCCTGGACAGGTTCCTACTCAGAAGGACGCTCGCAGGTGGCCTCTGCACCCTGAGTCTGAGCTAGGCCTGAATCCCGGGATCAGCATGGTGCATGGGATTTCCGCAAGGACAGGAGCCCTCTATATGTTGTGCTGTCTGATGCCACAGACACATCAGCACTTGAAATGTGGCCAGTGCAACCAGGGAAATGAATTTTTAATCTTTGTCTCAGTGGAATTGCCACATGTGTCCAAGGGTTACCCTGTTTGTGCTCCGTAAACCGATCAAACCCTCCGACAGCCTTGTGAGGACCATGTGGTCCCCATCACACGCACCTATAGGCAAGGAACCCAGGCAGCCAAGTCTTGGCCTGTGAGGTCACACATAGGGCAGCTGGGCCAGGACACAAGCAGCCTGAGCCAGAGCTGTGTCCCCACCTCCCTGGGTCACTTCTGATAATGCTAATGGAGAGCTCTGTGGGTCTGCAGGAGAGCATCCGGCACCAGGGGCTTCATCTACAGAAGCCTCCCAATGTTTCTCAAAGACCTCCAAGACCCCACAAAGCATCTGTCCTTGGGCATCTGGCCAAGGCCAGCCCCGGGGACATAGGGCACCAATGCCCGCCTCAGGGGAGCTGGCATTACCTGGTGATGTCATAGACGAGGAGCGCACCGGCTGCACCTCTGTAATAGCTCCTTGTCACAGACCTGAAAGGACAACAGCAGCTCTAACTCAACCACTAAGACCCTCCACTGCCCAGCACCACCTCCCCAGACCCTCGGGCTTGCTTTGTGAACCCCAAAAGAGACAGGCCTGGTGTCAAAGAGCACGACTCTGGAGGTGTGAACACATGTGTCATCCTCCGGGAATCATGTCATGCAATCAATGGGAGGATGTCAGGCTGGGATGGGCAGGGTGTCTTCCCCAGAGCGGCACAGCTGCGTGGATGGCAGGGGGGCAGGGTGCCTGCCCCCTCAGGGGTAGTGCGGGCCTGGGCAGCAGCCTCTCCCAGCCTGGGTCCAGTCACCCCCCCCGGCCCCCGATCTAATCTCCTGGGACTTGGTTTCCTTTTTTACAGTTGGTTAAGTGGTTAAAGGACATAGCTGTGAGTGGACACTCCTCTGGCCACAGAAGAGATGATCACAAACTCCCAGGCTTGTGAGTCTCAGGGTTCTTTCTTCTGGTATTTGCTGCTCATTTCTATAAAGTGCCTCTGAAGTGGTTTATGCTTGGGGCTGGTGCTTCCTGCCTCAGTAGTCTCATGTTGGGTGGCAGCGTGTGCCAACCACCTGGGCCTTCCTCAGGTTGGGGTCCCTGGGCTTTGTCATGGGAAGTGGCCTCTGCCCCTCCTCACACCTTCTGGCCACCATCTTGCTCCCGCACTGACCTGCCAGTTGTGCTGTGTGAGGGTTTTAGGTTGGAAACTTTCCCCTCTGAGTTCTGAAGGCATCCACCCCGCCCTGGTGCTGGGGAAGGGACCCTGGGCCTCTGACTGCACAGCCAGCTTTCACCTTCATCTCACTGGGTCCTCAGCACCTTGGAGCTCCCAGTGCTGCACTTGGCCCAGTGCGGCTCTGACTTCCGACCCTTTCAACTCTCCTCTTGGCTCTGGGGAGTTCCCTCCTCAGCCTGCCCTGCTCTGGACCTCCCCACCATCCCCTGCTGTGGAGTGGGCCGGCGACCTGGACTGTGGTTGCTCTGCTGCGGCTCTGGCTCTCTCCTGGAGCAGTCTGCCCTGGGCCTTCGCTGAGGCTGGCTTGACTCTGCCCTACCCCTGCTGCCTCGCTGTCTGGGAGGCTGGCCACTCAGGGACACCTCCCGAGGGCACTCTTCACATGTGTTCAGCACTCTTTGTTCTTATTTCTGGGGACTCCCCCTTCTCCCAGAAAGTCCCGGCTGATGTTCTTTGTTTGGGCTCTTTGACCATTGGTACTGTGTTCGGTGGTCGTTTCTTCTGTCGGGTCATTTCTGTTAGGAGCCAGGGATGGAGAGGGCTGGGGAGGACTTGCCAACCTTACTCTGATCCCTGGAGGGCCTGGGGCTGCTGTACCAGGAAGCCAGTGCTGGGCCTCGACACCCCTCGAGCCTGTCCATTTTCCTGCAGTCACCCTTTCTTGGCCTGGTACTAGCACAGCTGGCTGCCAGTAGTCAGCGGGGAAACAGGGGGAGGCCAGGGCTCTCCTGCAGTGGGCCGGCCCTGCCAGGCAGAGCCTCAGACTCTCACCCCAGAGGCTACACCTCTCCAGGGTCTGGAAGCTGGTGTCTCCAAGCCCCGCCTTCTCTGGGACTCCCAGAAGGGGCTGCCACACAGAAGAGCAGCCTCTTTCCTACTTGCTTGAGAGGCACTCCTGGTCATTCATGTCCTGGGGGCTCTGGGGTGGAGGCTGCATCAGGTGGGACCACCATTCAGCCAGGGTATCCAGGAGCAGTGATGGCGGGGACACTGTGGTATTTCTGAATATTACTAACGCACAGTATGTACCAACCTTAATGAAAAGCTAAAGGTTTGTAGTGGAGTGAGTTTTATTTCCTGAATCTCAACACTGAGTGTGTGCTCTGATCTGGTGTACCTGTAGGAACCCAACCAAGCGTGGCCCAAGTCCTGCACCCGGGTTCTTGACAGCCCGCCAAGCACCCACCCTGCAGGCATCTAGCCACAACCTTGGGCCTGCATGTATAACAGAGCAGAGCCCCAAGCAGCTTTTCAAAACCCCACCTAGGAAGGGAACAACAGGCGGATGCGCTCTGGCTTTGCTGAGATTCCCATCTAAACATGGCTCCAGCCATGACCTGCGGCAGTGAGCCGGCCGAGTTAGAGGCTCCTCGACCTCTGGGCTCTAGCCCCTTCAGCGGGAGCTTCCAGATCTGGAGGCAGTGCAGGGGAGGACATGGGGCAAGAGCCTGTACGTGGAGAGAACATGATCATTTCACCCGAGTTTCCAAGACTTTATTAAATCAGAGGAAAAGCTACCTGAATCGTTCTTGTCCCGCTGTGTCCCATATCTGTAACTTGACGTATTTACCACCAACATTTATTATTTTTGAGCCAAATTCCACTCCTATTGTATGATTTGAGTCATCTTTGACTGAAAAGGAGAAGCAAAAACAAAGCATTTCATTTTAGACCTTTAGGGAAAGAGGTCACCCCATCTGGTCAGCAACACTGAGGTCAGGGGCTGCCGGGAGGCAAGTCCCCTCCGCCCTATTCTCACAGCTTTAGGTGAAATGCACACCACCCTGTTCTCAGAGGCCCTAGAGCTTTCTCCCCAAGCCCTTTAAAGCTTGCACCTCTGAGCACAAAGGCATCCTCTCCTGTCCATGGCCTGGGGACGTTACTTACATTTTTTTTCAATAAACTGATGAAGTAAGCAAGATTTGCCAGTCCCCGCATTTCCAATCACCAGGAACTTAAATAAAAAATCTGCAAGACAGAGGGAGACTGTGAAAAGCAACTTGAAAGTGGAGGCCGCACGCTTATTTCTAGACTGCCACGCTCGTTGAGGTCCTATCTGTTTAACGGGACAGAGGACAGAAGCAGGGGTGCTGGAAGGTGGTACATGCTGGCTGGCCTTGGCCCTGGCACCATCCACGCCTCCTGGTGCCCCTTAGGGCTCTGCTCATCAGTGCACTCTGAACCACTTCTTTTGAAGCCTGAAGTTGAGAACCAAGTGAGCAAAGCATGTCCCTGCTAGCCTCTGTTCAAAGGCGTGTGCGCACTCAGTTCTGAGCAGCAAAGCCCAGAAGTCCCAAGTGTGCCCTTACAAAAGCATGAGCCTGGAGACTTGGGAGCTTCCAGGGTTCTTGGGAGGAACAGGCAGGCCCACCTGCGGCCTGGGTGTCCTCTTCCCTGGTGACTCGAGGGAGGGACAACTCAGGCCAAGTTCGATGGGCACATCCTATGGGCAATCCCTGACTCAGGGTGGAGAAAGCCCACATGTCCTCTTCACCCACAGTCCTATACCCCCTGGGACATCACGTCCATGTAGTGGGGACCAGGGAGCTCCAGGATGGGCTGTGCTGGTCACCATGGAGCAGCACAGGAGTCTGTGTGGCTCTGGAGGCCTTGCCTTGCTGTCCCTTTGTTGAGGATCTTTTCTCTTGCTCAGCCTGGGAATGGCACTGCACCGAGCCCCTCTCCAGCTCTGCATGTCTGCACTGACCCTGGCCTGCCAGTGCCACCCCACACCATGTCCTTTGGGCCTATTGTGCCTCCTGCCTCCTCCCCAGGTGGGGCCAAGCACTCCCTGACCCTGGTGCCCCTTCCCCAATTAGACTAAGAGCCACTGGCACTGGCCTGGCCTGGCCGTGCCACCTGTGTTCAGGGACAGTGCTATTAGCAATCCACTAACAAGGCGACTGACAGGGGGAAAGGGCAGCAGGCAACCCTGCCATTACTGCTGTACTCCTAGGCATCGGACCCAGCCAAACCAAGGTGGGTTCACAGACCCGGCAGGTGGATGTTTCATCCTTAAAGCCTCAACTGGGAACAGCCAGGTAGTCTGCAGGGGGTGCTAGGTTGCACTTGGACTCCCAGCCCAGGCCTGGCAGGTCCCCAGGGACTGTAGAGCCAGGAATCACAACCATGAGCATCCACTCCTAATAGTCTCTAAATAGCAAGATACAGTAACAGAGCAGGGTAGAGGCTGCCAGGGTGGGTGGGGCAGGAAGGCAAGAGGAGCTGGCTTCCTGGGGGTAAGGGTCCTGCCAGCCACGAGGCTGCCTTGGCCCTGAAAGGTGTTCTCTCTGGGGAAATCCCTGTGGAGGGGCCCAAGACCCTGTGAGCCTCCTTAGAAATGTGAGCCTGCAGAGGCCTCGGCATGGGAAGCGCGTCAGCAGACAGAGTGGGTGCCACTCTCAGGCTCCTGGCCTGCCCTGGGAGCAGCACCAAGATGCTTTGGAAGAGCGTGGCCCCAGAGGAGCAGAGGCACAGCCAGGCTGTCCTCAGTCCCCACCTGCCTTAGACGCAGGCGTTTGGTCACATGGGTGAGCCTCCAGAATCCACCTCTAGGGGCTGTGGCTTTGGCTCAGCGGCAGAACACTTGCCTCACACATGTGAGGCACTGGGTTTGATCCACCGCACCACATAAAAATAAATAAACAAAATAAAGATATTGTGTCCATCTGTAACTAAAAAAAAAATAAAACAAAAATAGAAACAGAAAAAGGAATCCACATCTAGTGAGGCATTGTGGTCAGTGCCCAGTGATCTGGACCCACGGGTCACTCTGGATGGACGCATACTGTAGGCTGCAGGTAGGTAGGCGACTGCCTTGGGAGCCCTGGTTTTTCTCCTGGTGCTCAGCAGCTCAGAGAGCCCAGTAACCAAAGGGAACCCAGGTGGCACGACGGCTAGGGAGGGCTCTTACCGTCCATCCATTATAACAGAGGCCGTGTGTTTATGAGAACTGAGGGCTCAAAACCCAATTGCAGACTTCCTCTCCTGACCCACGGTCTTCAGGTTTACCTGTGGAGGGCTTCCTCAGAACAGGTGGCGCTGGAAGGCAGGGAAAGACCATGCCCTGAAACACACCTGAAGCAGACGTCCTGCCACGCACGGTGAATGTTCACACGAGAAATGCAGAACCGTGGGCAAAACAGGCACAGGCAGAGGTCAGCCATCCTGGGCGGACACGCAGGTCAGGCCTGCGGAGAGCACAGGCCAAGGGGCGGATACAGGCAGAGGCACAGGTGATGTCCCTCCAAGGCCCCTCCACCACTTCCCAGGCCAGGCAGATGGGGCATGTGCATGGGACGGCCAGACACGGTCCTGAGTCCTCAGGAAAATCAAGTCACAGTGGATGAGATGGCTCTGCCTTCCTAGCTGCTCTCTTAGGTGACGTCAGAGGGAGGCAAGGGGCAGAGCTCACAGGGCACACGCAGAGAGAGGGCAACTCACTACCCAAAGAGAAGCCTGCAGCTATCCAACTGAAGCCAGGGGGGCTTGGAGGGGAGGTGTCCCCGAAGGCTCCTGTGTTAATGCAGGAGTGCTCAGAGGTGAAATGATCAGGTCATGGTAGCTGTGACCTAATCAGTGGATTAATCCACCTTGTGGATTAATAATTTGAGAGGACTACTGTACCCAGTGGTCCCTGTAGGCAGGACTCTAGGGGTGCCTTGCGGATTATCCTTGTCCTCTGGCTCTCCTCCTCTCTCTGTTTCCTGGCCACCACGAGCTGCACATCGTCCTCTACCAGGCCCTTCAGCCAGATGCTCTGTCTCACCTGGGCCCAGAGTGATGGAGTCGCTGTCTACAGACTGAGACCTCTGAAGCTCTGAGCTCAAAATGAATTTTTTCTCCTCTGAGTTGTTCTGGTTGGGTATTTTGGTCACAGTGATGCAGAGCTGAGTGACACAGCCACACATAGTGGACACAATAAGAATAGAACAGAAGGTGCCCAGGGAGCAGCCAGGGGAGAAGAGGCAGGAGAGAAGGTGACTGGAGGTGACCTGGAGGAACCAAGAGATGCTGACCAGCTCTCTGCATAGACACTGCAGGCACCATCTCAGTCAGGGGTTGGGGACAGAGAGAGGTGCAAGGCAGCCGACCTTGCTGAATGAGCACTGGCCCAAGGTCATCAGGAAACAGCAGTGGAAGAACTGGCTGGGCGCATAACATGGAGGACACTTGCTTCAGAACAGAGTCTGGTGCCTGCTGCAGGAAGGCTGGCTCCGGAGAGGCCTGGAGCTGTGCGAGGATCCTGCAGAGGGCACTGGAGGCAGTGGGCTCCCATGGTGCTGGGCACTGTGCCCATGTGGCATGGTGCAGAGTGGAATCAGGGCATCTGTCGATTCCAACTTGTAGCAGAGAACCCAGAGATGCTGGGTTCTTGGGCCTGTGACCCTGCTGACTCGTTCCCTGAGACCACGGGCACCAGGGATGGTGCAAAAGCAAGAGGCTCAGCAGTGAGCCCAGCTGCCCAGCATGGAAATGGCCATCTCTCATTGCTGCCTGCTGATGCAGTAATATCTTTAAATACAACTCCCTGACTACATGGAAAACCACCCAGAAGAGAAGATGGAGGCCCGAGAACAGTCACCCTCAGGCAGGACCACTGGATTTATGGGAGGACCAGCAGCCAGCACTCTGTGAAGTGTGGGAGGAGTGCCCCAATCAGAGCCACAGAGAGTGGAGAACTAAGGTCCGCACTGGAGGTTGTAGCTGGGCTCTTTGCAGTATCAGGACCTGGTGAAGGTGGACACATCCTCTTCTAGGTGCCCGTCTTGTGTGCTGGCAACAATCTCTGCAGGCAGAGATGGTGCCTGGCCATCGTCCCACCTCTTCAAGCTGTTGGGACGACCTTCGGGTTCTCAGGTGAGCTCTGGATGCAGGTGCATACAGAGCATGTGCATCCTCACAGTGGCCAGAGCTCGCCCTGCTGATGTCACAGCATTTTCATTCCAGAGGCCATTGGGTCTGTGACAGTACCCTGGTGTATGTCCAAGGCTTGCTTTACCTTGGGTCCTGCTCCCACCTCTAGTCTGCACTGAATTCAGCGATGAATTTCAGCTCAGTTTGAGATGTCCAGGGACCTCTGTACCATGCACTACAGCAAGAGTGGATCAGGGTCACACTCGCAGTCTCTCTCCTCACCTGTGGGTGCAGCCAGCCTCACCTCCCCTCGGTGTGAGGGCAAGCTCCCCAGTGCAGTCCCTCAATGCAGGCCAGGTGAGGCCACCCCTCAGCTCCAGTGCATCAATGCTCCTTGAGGGAAGGCCTGGTGGTGGAGATGGGACCTGAGAGCTGAGGCCATGCAACAGATAGGGATTGCTCGTAGGGAACCAACTGCATCACTAAGATGGTGTATGCCAGGAGAAAAAGGGATGGCCACTTTCCTTTTATTTTTTGGTACTGGGATTGAGCTCAGGGGCACTTGACCACTAAGCCACATCCCAGCCCTATTTTGTATTTTATTTAGAGTCAGGGTCTCACTGAGTGGCTTAGCGCCTCATCATTGCTGAGGCTGGCTTTGAACTCTGGATTCTCAGGTCTCATGCTCCCGAGCTAATGGGATTACATGTGTGCCCACCATGTTGGGCCACCCCATGTATTTTGAGTTGGGTTTTCTGTCACTTGCAGAATAATAATCCATCATCTACTAAGTAGAAAACCTTAATCATAATATTTTTTGTCTGGGCTTAGAGTGAGAGGATTTATTCAACAAGACTTTCATGAATAGTGTGAGGCTGGGGGTCCACCCTGGACACAGGCCACAGCAGGGTGTGTCCATCCTGGGGATTCAGGCCAGGTCTGGGCTCTGATAGTCCCAGCAGGCTGGACTCTTGTGGCCTGCCTTTGACTGCCATACCTATGGCTGACCAGCTTCCACTTGGCCAGCAGGCTTTCTCTTCAGGGGCAGAGTCTGGCCCAACAGCTCTGAGTCCAGGGCAATTGTGCTTTGAGGCATTGAGCTGGTTGTAGGCTTGATTCTAAGGGGGACTGGGTCTCTTTGTTTTCAAACTTTTGGAGGTGCTCTGGCTCCAGGAGAATGCCCCAACTCCAGGAGGATGCCCCAGCCCCAAGGGGTGCCCATCTCAAGCAGGATGCCCCAGCCCCAAGAGGTGCCCTGTCTCCAGCAGAATGCCCCAGCCCCAAGAGTTTCCCGTCTCCAGGAGGATGCCCCAACCCCAAGGGGTACCCTGCCTCTAGAAGGACACCCCAGCCCCGAGGGGTGCCCTGTCTCCAGCAGGATGCCCCAGCCCTGAGAGGTGCCCCAACTGCAGGAGGATACCCCAGGTAACTTGGCTTCCACAAGGGACACAAGGACATCATGCCGTCAATGCAGCTCTTCTATTTATTCTGGCCTTTCGTTTCATACACTGTAACCTCTCAGGTGGAAGCAAATGGAGCCCCTTCAGTGTCCTCTGAAGGCTTGCAGTGCTCAGGACTGTTTAAAGCACCAGGACAGAAGTCCCAGGAGCCTCCCCAGCTTCTGAGGACTCACAGTCTCATCCTAAAAGCTTTGCTCACCAGCCAAGTCGACTGAGCCTCAACACGGGCCTGAGGGTCGTGCAGGCACAGGGCTCATGCTCACTGCACCAGCACTCCCCCAAAGCCTGGCGCAGGCAGGCAAGAGAGCAAGAAGGAGCGCTGTCACTGACTGCAGGCACACAGAGCTTCCCCGTCCTGGTCTTAGGTTCCCAGTTGCTTTGCTGCCTGATTCAAAATTCACATTTGAAAAGAAAAGGATCTGCCTCCCTCTAAAGTGTATCACCCTCTCACTCATGGTTCACCAGCACTTCACCGTCCACATCCTGTCTTCCGAACACTGCTCTTCCTTCTCAGAACGTCGGAAATGCCGTACAGCAACAGGTTGGTCCTTCTGTTCACCACTGTCATCCTGTGCTCGGTGGCCAAAGCCCTCTCCACAGACCTACCTTCAGGCCAGGAATGAGTTTCAGAGGAAGAGGAACAGCAGGCACGGTGTCCCTGTGGCTTTTGTCCAGTGCTGTGTGCTGGCCTTCAGACTCGCCTCTGCTGTCCCCCCACAAGGGGGGGGGGTGCCCAGACATTCTGCTTGCCCTTGGCCCTCACTGACCATGGACAGGGAACAACTGTGGCTATCGAAGGTGGCCAGGCGCAGGGTGTGTAGGAGAGTTGTGTGTTCACACGGCTTGCCTTCCATCACACCTGGGCTTTGTCTCCATGGAAAGCTGTTAAGAGTGGGGGCCTTCAGGAGGGGACAGGCCTTGGGATTGCCTCTCAAGGCTGGGTTGATGCTGCTCTCTGGGATGGGGCTTCCTCACAGGACTGGGTCAGGGCTGACATGCAGGACTGGACTGGCCAGAGCAGGTGTTAAGAGCCAGGCTTCCCTCCTGTCTGGCCTTCCCATGTGCCCAGGCACCCTCCTTCCCACCACCAGTGCCACGCTCTGGAACATCTCAGCCTCCAGGACTCCGTCAAAAAAAAAAAAAAACTCTTCAAAACTTCATTGTTTGTGGTACTGGGGATTGGACCCAGGGGTGCTTTACCACTGAGCAAAGTCCCCCAACTCTTTCTATGTTTTACTTTGAGAGAGGGTCTTGCTGAGTTGCTGAGGCTGGCTTAGAATTTGTGATTGTCCAGCCTCAGCCTCTTGAGTAGCTGGGATCAAAGGTGTGCATCATCATGCCTGCCTGGCAAAAATAAACTTTTTCTTCTTCTTTTTTTTTTTTTTTAAATTACCCATTCCCAGGGATTCGGTTATAGCCACAGAACATGGACTAAGATGAATACCTTAGGACTGAGGAGTCAAAGGCTTTCTACAAATTCTTGCTGCAGACCTCCGGGCAGAGGGTTAGACTGGGAATCCATCACATCAGTCTGACTCATCTCCACAGGAAGGTTTAAGAGAAGAAGTTCCAGACACATGAGCCTTCTCATCCAAAGAAATACTCAGAGCAGCTGGGCATGATAGCGCATGCCTTTAATCCCAGCACTTGGGAGGCTGAGACAGGAGGATCATGAGTTCAAAGCCAGCCTCAGCAAAAAAAGTGAGGTGCTAAGTAACTCAGTGAGACCCTGTCTCTAAATAAAATACAAAATAGGGCTGGGTATGTGGCTCAGTGGTGGAGTGCACCTGAGTTCAATCCTCGGTACTGTCCCCTCAAAAAAAAAAAAAAATGAAAGAAAGAAAAGAAACAGAGCAAAGATCACCAAAGAAGAGTAATTTTTTTTTTTTTTTGCTTGCTGGGGATGGAACCCAAGTCCACGTGCAGCCTATGTTCCACGAGCAAGCTAATGCACCCCTACAATATTTAACCTTGGATGATTCTACACCAAGTCGCCCAAAGAGGGAAATGGTTCTAATAACCGAAAATGCCACCATTTGTAGTACAAGCAGGTTCACCCTCATGCCTGCAGGAAACCATTCTCCAAGGAGCTCAAAGAGCTTTGGGGATGACCCTTATTCAAAGCACAATGATCTCCCTGTGATGCCATGGCTCAAGAAGAGCCTCAAATAAATTTTATCAAGCCCATTCCCAGTCCACCTGACCAGAAACCCCCAGCTCCGGGGAGCTCCTGTGACCCGTGAGCAGGGCCAGCAGAGGTGCTGGAGGGTGGGCCTGAGGAAGCGGGCGGCAGCTCAGGGCAGTTCCTACATCTGCCCACGACGCTGCCAGGAGAACTCCAGGAAGCCCTGTTTTCTCCATTTCCAGTTGAATAAACTGCTCTGAATTAACTTTCCATTGCCGTTTCAGGGGCAGGGGTGACTTGAGCTATAGTAAAGGGCATCCAGGAAGACTCAGCAGTCAGCTGGTTTTCAGTGAAGGAGAAAAGCAAAAGCACTTTCCAATAATGAATTTATTCAACCTGAAGAAATGTCCTTGTTTTTTCTGCCTCCTTTGTTGACACACTCTGGGGTTCAGGTCCTGACATCTATGCACCTAAGACAGTGGTGATTCAGGTGACACCTAGTGCAAGTTACCTGGCACCTTCTTGGAGCCAGGCGGTTCTGAGCCTGCCACTTCTCTTTCTTGGGGTGCCCTCCTCACTCCATCTTGCCTTATCAAGTCTGGGCTTCGCCAAGAGCAGGGTTTGATGGCCAAAGCCAGTGGGTTTGCTTCCCAGGCTGGTCACAACAAGCTGCCCATCAGGTGGCTTCAAACCATAGGAGGTGCTGTCTTATAGTTTTGGGGGCAGGGAGTCTCACATCGAGTCAGGGCAGTTGAGCTCCCTTTGAGGGTGCCAGGGAAGGGCTTTCCTTGCCTCTTCTACATCTGGCTGCTGGCTGACATCGGCTCCTTGGCTTGTGGCCGTCACTCAATCTCAGCCTCCACCGGAATGTCACATCCTCTCTGTGTGAGTCTGTGTCCTTACCTCACAAGGACAGCAGTCCCTGCATTAGCCCACCCTACTCCAGTATGACCTCATCTTAACTCTGTCTGCAGAGAGCCTGTGTTTTTATCTTTCTCCTTGCTGTGACCAAAGACCTGACAATAGCAAACAGAGGAGGAGAAGTTTATCTGGCTCACGTTTACAGACTCACTCATGTAAATGGCTGCCTCCTTGTTCTGAGGCAGAACCTCATGGTGGAAGGGTGTGGAAGAGGAAGGCAGCTCAGGACATGGCCATCAAGAAGCAGAGAGCTCTGCTCATCAGACAAAATATAAACCCCAAAGGCACAGGCCCAAGGACCGCATCCTCCAGCCATACCCCTCCTGCCCACAATTACCACCCAGTTAATCCACTCCAGTGAATTAATGCACTGATCAGGTTAAGGCTCTTAAAACTCAATCACTTCCCCTCTTAGCTTTCTTGCATTGTCCCACACCTGAGCTTTAGGGAGACACCTCATGCCTACATCATAACAGCCTGCTTCCAAATAAGGTCACACTCACAGACTCCGGGGTTCAGGACCTAGACATGACTTTGGGACACGATCCAACCCGCAGCGTCCCACAAGGACACAGGGTTGACAGCAAATGTCCAGTGATTCTCCTGATCACTTGGTAAATACACGATGCCACACTGTTTTCAGAGGGAAGCACAAAATGAAAACTCTAAGAAAACAATATAAAAACGAGCCTAGGACCAGCAACTCACACGGTCCTCTCTCACAAACAGGCCTCCTACAGAGGCACATCTGCTTACAGGCAGTCTGTTAGCGTTCTCTATTCCTGAGTTTCCATCACACTGTCTGGCACCCCTGCCACGTGTCCTGAACAACATGTTTAGCTCTGTCCTGAACATGACTGCTGGTTTCAGGAATTCCTTGGGGACAGGGTACAAGCCCCAGGCCTCAGGTCGCTGGGGCACAGGTCCTTGGGGAGGCCCAGCAACACTCCACAGGGCCTTCAGAGGTTGTGGACTTTACATCTGGGAGAACCTTGTTTCAGATTAGTGGTACTTGGACTGAGCATCTCTATTCCCCTCTGTTTGACACTTTGATTCTGTGTCATGATATTACACAACCTAGAGCACTGTCCACGTGGCTAGGGGCCTCTGAGCTAGCACATGTGGTCTCCACCGTCCATGGCAGGTGCAGTAATAGCCTGAACATGCTAATGAAGTGGTGGAACTGACCCCTTGGCAGCACATCCCAAAGTGGCTCTCCCCTCTTGGTCACAGACCATCGAGCTTCCAGAGCCCCCTTACACAGGAAAGGATGGTCCCAGAGTACAAGGAACTCAAAGGCCAGGCAGACACTCCTTCAGCAAGAGGCAAGCGTTCGAGAGGAGGGGACATGAGACTTTACTTCGAGGAACAGTTTCGTGCAGACACAGCCATACCTGAAGGGCCAGTCAAGGCCTTGGTTTAAGGTGACCTTAGGTTGGCAACTTCAACTACCATGCCAGCTTTTTTTTAGTTTCCTTTAATTCCTCCACTGGAGGAGAGGATTAAATCCAGAGGGAGTGAGAAGTAATATCCATTTGGAGGGGCCATGGAATCACACTAATGGCCCTGTCTCTCACTGAGCCCACTGGCCCCTTGGTCCTGCCATACCCAGCACGCCCAGCATATCGTCAGGACTGCAGCACTTCCTGTGAGAAGCTCTTTCCCCACTGATTCATGACAACCCCCCACACTCCAAGCCCTCTTCCTGGGTGACCTGCCCCTCTCAGTGTTCCTGACCCGGAAGCTGGGTGTGGCTAGGGAGCAAGAAGCTCAGAGGAGCACAGGTGAGATGGCACACGAAGGTTCTCTGCGTGGACAGGTCTGACTGGCTCTCCACAGAACCAGACGGCAGGAGCCACCTGGGGGGTACCCACAGCCAACAACACAGTCCTAAAGAAGCCAGTGGCTGCAGGATTCTCTCAACTTCTAGGGACAGATGTCAGGCCCCACTCACAGGAGCAGGGCAGTGCCAGTTGCTGGCAGAGGACCAGGTGCCCTTGAGCACTAGCGTGACACCCTTCCAGCTTCCCACCCTCTCAAAGTCCAAGCCCTCCCTAGGCCCCTCTGCCCCTCACCCTCCCAGACTATGGCGCTCAGATACATGCAGGTCTGGGCTGAGGTCCTGTGCTGCCTGGGCTCTGGCTGTGGGGCTGACACCTCCATGGCCCTGACCCTCTGGGTCAGTGCTCTTTGCCATGTACTTGCAGTGATTACATTCTTCAGAACTCTTGCCTGGCTTTAAGTTATTCATCTGTTGGTGTCCAGCTGGATGTCCACACTCTTCCCCACTAGACTGTACACTGTGAGACCTAGCAGATGTCTGTGGTGTTTGTTTCTGCAGTGTCCAGAGCCCTGACAACATGGTCCTGAGGAAGCCCGCAGCTGCAGGATTCTCAAAGTTCGATGCCTCCTCCACAAACCTCTGTGGAGGACAGGAGACACCTGCCAGGGTGGGAGCAAACCCACCAGGCCTAAGGTCCATATTTGCACACCTGAGCCTCTGGGACTGTCAGCTGTCACATCTGAAAGAGTGATCAGGGGTTGGCAGACTGGTCTCCACTCTGATACAAGGTTCAGATCCTTTATTCAAACCTAGTGGGTGGGAGCAACTTAGTATATAAATTGGAAAAGCTTTGATTTATCAAAAATAAATTTGCTTAGCACATCCATGTTTGTAGGGGAAACAAAGATTAAACAGACTGGGCTCTGCTTCCAAAGTACTCATGGTCATCAAAAGGAGACATGTTATAAATAGCCAGAAAGCAACCAAGAAAGGGCTGAGAGAGGGAGATGGATGAAGCCGGAGGTCACAGGAGAAAGATGGGTTGGTTAATCACTGCTCCCTCACTGTAATCCTGCTGCAAAGAAGCAAAGAAGGGAACTCCCAACCAGGAACAGGGATCTGCCCGGTCAGAGGACACCCAGAAACAGGTGCGGCCTGAGCCTGCGGCCCTCACTGGGCACCAGCGGTGGAAATCAAATCTGGTTCCCACACCCTGCGCTGAATTAAATTCGGTAAGGAAAACCTAAGGGTGGCAGCGGGGCGCACGCAGGAAACCTGAGTCAGCCATCATCAGCCATATGCACTCCCAGACCGAGGAGGGCACCCTGACACCGGCTGGCTCTGCCACCCAGAGATCCTTCGCAAGATCCGTACCTGGCCCAGCCCCCTGCCCCGTCCGTCACCACCGTTCAAGAACCCAGACCCGCCTGGCTGGACACCCGGACACCCCGCGAGCCTGCTCTCCCGCCCCGCGGAAGGCCCTACCATAGGTCTCGGACATGGCGGTCTGCGACATCCTGGCCTCTCTCTCTGCTCAGCCGGGGTCTGTCGGGGTCCGGAGAGAAAACGAGGCGGGGACCGACCAGCGGGGCCGGGCGGGTGCCTACAGCTAGCGCCGGCCACCGCGCTGCGGCCCAGCCGGACTCGGCTCCGCGCATGCGCACGGCTGCCCCGCGGAGGAGCCAGGGAGCTGGGCGGAGGATGCAGGGTGTGCTGCGCTGTTGGGGCGGCGGCCCGAGCACGTGGGCGCCCAGCTGGTGTCTGCGGCAAGGCCTGCTGCAGAGCCTGAGGTCGGCCGGCCGGGGGGAATCGCGCAGAGGCCGTGAGTCCCAGAGGCCGGGAAGGACGTGGAGGAAGAGGAGCCCAGGCACCTGCACTGGGCGGTTCTTGTGTCAGATGCCGCTGCAGCACAGGATGTGGTCAGCCTCCCGCGGCTCTCAGCCCGAGCAAGCTTCCCTTATGTGGTAGTTGGATGCAGGATAACCCGCGGGAAGCAGAGCTCTTGGCCAGATCGTGCAGGCCTCCGGGCACCATGACGTGCAAGCCAAGAGTTCCCGAAAGAACTGACTCTGCGCACCCGTTTGGGGGGTCTGGGGGAACGTGCGTTCAGGGGAGGCACCACCTGGCCCTCAGGTGCAGGTGCGATTCAAGGTTAGGACTCCGGGAAAAACAACAACAACAACAACAACAACACCACACACACACACACACACACACACACACACACGCACGCACGCACCAGTTCAGAATTTCCATTCTGTGGAAACGTGGAGAGACCTGGCCTAGTCCACGGTGAGGGCAGCACACATCTGCCTCCTCGGTTTGGCTCTGTCCTCCGCGGGAACTGACCACAGACCTTCCGTCTCCCCAGCACTGTGGGCTCTACATTTCACCTTGCCTCCAAATCCCAGAGGGGCAAGCCTTGTGACCTAAAGTATTCTGTGTATGCTTCTTCTCTGTGGCCCAGACCCTCTGCTGCTTTCTGCTGGGCTTCATTTAGGCTCCTAAGCAGAACAGTCTGCTTCTGATTAAGGCCTTTCAGAGGACAATGATCCCCGGAGGAGGGAAAAAGAAGTCCTCAGTCCCCTGAGGACTGTTCCCTTCCTTAGGTCTGAATTTCCTCCCTACCAGAAACTGCCAGTGGGTCAGGAAGAAGTCACTGGGTCAGTGATAGTTCTTGATGATGTCAGAAACTTGACCCAGAGGCCAGGGAAACCTATGCATATAGTAGCAGTGACAATTATACTGTCATTCCAAAGCTGGCAGCAGTGTTCTGGACTGTGGGGATGGCCTTCAAAGGCCTTGGGCAAGACTGGGTAACACCCTCCTCCAGGGAGATCCTTGTTTTCACGGGGTAAAGTCAGATCAGACTGGAAAAGGAGACAGGTGGCAGCTGGGATCTGAGGGAGCCCCCCTTCCCTGGAAGCCCTGTGAAGGTCTTTATGGCTGGGTGAAAGGCTGGGAGGAAGTGATTCTCCTAGGTATTGCTGGAGATTCCCAGGTGCTGTTGATGCTATGGAAGGAATGGTCAAGGTAGCGTGTGTCTTTCTCCAGTGATGCCTCCTTTTTCTTCAGAGGTTTGTAGCAGAGTGAACGTGTGTGTCCCAAAGCCTCGGCACACGTTATGAAGGGAAGGTAGAGGGAGGGTCTTTTCCGAGCAGACTGGTCCCTGGTTCTCCCCAGGTTTCCGGGTCCTGGGCTTGGTGGGGGCACTGTGCTCAACCTCAGTGGCATATTGGCTTTCCTCCACAGCTGTAGTTGAAGAACAAAAGTGGACTTTGCCCACATGTCCCCGGGGACTCAGAAACACCTGGTGTGACTTTGAGAAGAAGCCAGGTGCTGCACATGGAAACTTGAAACGTGAGCATGTTGATGCCAGGCTGTGGACCTGCATCTGGGAAGGACCACAGAAGCCACAGCCATTTTGCCTGCGGGCAGCCAGGCAGATCTACATCTGTGACACACCTGCTGTCAGGGCACCTGTAGTCAGGACGGCTGCTGGGATGGCCCCTGGGACAAGCTCCCAAGGCACCTGTGACCAGTCCACCTGCACACTCCTGGGTAGGGAGACGTGGCTCCTCAGGGCCCGTGCACCTGGCTGAGCAGACAGGCAAGGTCTCCCAGGGTCTGAAGGTCACCTGGCCATAGTCATTTCAAAGAGGTCAGGAACTGAAATATTGCCTGCTGGAGGGAGGAGAGGAGAGAGTGTGTGGGAAGCCATTCTGCCCGCACCCAGGTTTCCTCGCCCCCGCAGCTGGTTCTGCTTCTACCCAGAACAACCTTAGTGGGGTGGGGTGGACGTGGCTGCCCGTGTTTAAGGCTGTCCTTCCATTGTCTTTGAGGCTCGTATATCCCTGTGCTCACTATAGGATGCTGCTGTGTCCAGGCCTTCCCAGTGGACCCAGGAAATTTCCATGATGCTGTTTGATCTCCTTGATGCTTCTTAGGAATAACTTTTTGTGAGGTTAACTTAGTGGTTGTCTTGGAACCAGAATGGAACCCAGTGACAATGGAAATGAAGTCAGGCCCAAGAGTTGAGAAATCGGGCATCCTTGCATCTCTCTAGCTAATTAGATTCCATAATGCTCATCTCCTGGGGGGCTGGGCTGTGCAAGAGAGGACAGCACAGACATTTTTCCTCCTCCATTTGGGTCCACCTCAGAGACGAAGTTAGGAACAAATTCACAGGGGGATGTAATGAAACAGCAGGACGCTTGGGCATCTGTTGGCCCCTGGTGGACCCTCTAGAATGAGCCCACTGTCTGGCTCCTGGCGGGGTTTTGCACCATTGGGAGGCCCAGAGCTCTGGCCTGAGCTGTGGTCTGAGGCTCTGTCTCTTCCACCTACCTGGGGGCCCAAAGCTCTGGCCTGGGCTGCGCACTGAGGCTCTATCTCTTCCACCTTCCTGGGTAGAGAGGAGGACGTAACTTATGAGATGCCAAGGGTTGAGCTGTGTCACTCAGAAGATGTGACCACATCTGGAGAAAGGGTCTTTGCAGTTGTGAGTAGGGAGGGAAGATGCAGTCCTCAGGGTGGCCCTCAGCCAGTCTGGCGTGGGTCCTTGCAGGAAGAGGAGGGGTGCTCCGGGACAACAGACTCAGATGGAGTGAGGGGTGGGACGCCGAGGAGGGTGAAGGCAGCCTGCAGCCACCAGGTGCCCCAAGGGGCCGGGAGCCTGCCATTGGCCACTTCCAGCCTCCAGAATGCTCTTCCTGCTGCTCCAGCCTCTGTTATGATGGCCCCACAGGCTAACCTGGGATTCTGAGTCGGGGGCTGTTGGATTCCCCCTGCCGCATGGAACTGTCACGGACAAATCAGTTTATTTTCTCTCAGCCTTAGTTTCACAAACCAGAAAATGGAGAAATGCAAAAGCAACTGCCCTGTCCAGGGCTCCCGCAAGGATGGCTGTACTGTGTATGGTCCAGCCGTTTGCTGGCTGCAGAGCTCTCTATGGTGGGACACTAGGCGCAGGCAGGGTGGAGGGAGCTAGGTCCTACAGACATGCCTCTTCTCTGCTCTCACCTGTTGCCTGCTGCTGGGCAGCACTGTGAGGTGACCCCAGTGGGGAGGTGGTGTGTGTGTTTGGTGTGTGCTGGCCCAGGTCCCTCAGAGGGTCAAGCTGCTCCCTCCAGAGTGCCCTCATAGTGTGGCAGCTGGCTGCCCTCAGAGTGGCTGCTGAGAAATGGGGACAGAGGGAGCAGGGAGCAGGATGTGTGTGTGTGTGTGTGTGTGTGACCTGGTCTGTGGGACTGTGTCCCATCGCACCAAGCCAGCAGGAGAGGAAGGTTCACCTCTTGGAGGGCGGTGTCCTGAAAGTTTGAGGATCTCTGGGAATGCCCCCTCTCTGGGCAGGGCTTTGCCTGTCTTACCCTGGAGGGAATCTCAAGCTCCTGGAGGGTCTGTCCCGGGACCCTGATGCCCTTCCACCTAACTCAGGGTCTGTGGCCATACTCCTGGTGTGCAGATTTGATCCATTCACACTCAAGCCAGAGGGTCCTCAGCTCCTGGGTCCAGCATCACATTCAAACAGGGACAAAGGAACCACTCCAGAGAGTTCAATGACCCACACGGTTCTGCAGGTACACCTGCAGCCAGAGCAGAGGAAGGGGCCAGGCCGCCTACTCCAAGGCCACTCCTAGTCTGTCTGTCTGTCTCTCTGTCCTCTGCCCCTGCCCCTTTCTATCTCTCTATGTGTCTCTCTTTCTCTGTCTGTCTCTCTGTCTTTTCCTGTGCCTGTCTGTCCCTCTCCTTTTCTCTGGGCATCTGCAGCTATGCTACATTGTCCCCTCCTCTTTTGATTCTGAGCTCTTTTCTCTTTCCCTTTCTAACTTCCCACCCCAGAGGTTATTAGAGAATCAGATGGACAGTTACTTGTTCTATTCAGACAAACAAAAGAAACAAAGCCTCTTTGTTATGCAGATAGACTTCAGCTTAAACAAAATGTGCACCAAACTCCATAATAGAAACATTTTCTTAAATATAACTTACCTTCCTGATCCTGAAACCAATACTTTGTTGCAGAGAATTTGGATTTTTAATAGAGAGCACAAAGGAGAAAATCAAGACTGTGTTATTCCATGCTCAGGGATGATAGGTGGACACTGGGGTATGTGCCCTTCATCTTTGCACACACATGTGCACACACATTCCTTCTTGGTTTTTGTGTGTGTATTGTTTAATAATCTACTTCTTTCATGTTAGCTTTCTGTGGTGAACATTCTCCAGGCTAGCATTTTTCTGTGGTCTATTTTTAATGATTGTGTATTTTAAATTTTTACTACATGAATGTCACAGTTTATTTAATCTATTATTATTGGTCATTTAGGATCCATGAAAGGCTTTGCCACTAACAGAAGCACTGTGCTGGACATTCTTGATCCACACCCGTGCTGTCCTTGGCATGCACTCCTGGATTGAGGGAGGCCATGCTGACCTTCAGAAAGATTGTGCTCATCTCCAGCTTCCTGAGCAATGAAGGTACTGCTTCTCCACACAGGTAGCTGTGGCCAGCATAATTTTTTCCTGCTGTCGATGTTTAATTGTATTTTGCTGGGATCAGAAAGCATGTTCTGTATGAGGTAAATGTGTTCTAAGGCCAGTGTGGTGTGACTTGGGAACAGCACGGCTCTGCCGAGGTCGGCATGTCCTGGCTCAGCCTCTT